TTAACTACTCCCTCCTTTTTTTCATTTACTATTTACTTGCCTGTTTTATTTTGCATTCATGTAAGACATTGCGTGTGGCGCATATCGTTATCTTAATATAGAAAGGCCCTATCTCACATTGTCGCTGAAATGCAAAACAGCCGTAATTGACTAAAATTTTTTATTGCTTTAAACGCTGTGGTATTTATAATTCGATGAAATGCATCACAATCAATCAAAAAGTGAATTTTAGATTTTTAGTTAGTTACGGCTATTTGTATTTCAGCGACAATGGTGAGATAGGACCTTTCTATATTAGTGTAACGATATAAACCCTGCATTGCGTTTCCACCTGTAAAATTTTAATACTATTCAGTGTTTTTTTTTTAATTTTTACTTTTATTTTATTATTATTTTTTATTCTATATTTAATACAGTTACAAGTACACATTTATCTCTGGCTAACTCTGCTTTTACGGCATTTGAAGTTGCTCAACTAATTCTTCTTTTATATAATGCATTTCTTTTTGCCCTTAAGAACTAATATTTAATTCGTATGAAAAACGAAAAACAATTTGTTTTTAAGTAAACGCAAATAAGTGTTTACATCATGTAAGCTATTTTTTCACAACAATTTGCATCTTGTTTGTGGCTGCGTGAAATGATTTTTGTTTTCTTAATTTTGCAAATTGTTCACAATTATGTTAAGTTATCTTCTCTTTCAAAATTTGCTTTCTTTTTATAAGTATGTTTGTTATGTGTGTGTGTGTGTGTGTTTATTGTATGTCATGCTTGCATTTTGCATTAAAGTTACATAAATTTTCTGAGATTTCTCTTTTTCGATTTTCCTTGTATCAGTCATAATTTTGGTATATTTTTTGCATTTTTTCCTTTACGCATTTTGCTTAATTTAAATTAGCTTATTTTTTAAGATTTTTATTTTGAAGTTATTGCAATTTTTACAGTACAGTTTTTGCTTAAATATACAGTTTTTCACTTTGTTTCTTGTGATATTATTTAATCTACAAATTTATTTTAAATTTTCCATTTTCAACTTGCGTCTATTTACTGTGTTTTCAAACGTACTAACTTATGCCCGTGTAGTGTTGTCGTCGGGTATCGGATACCCTCTTCGCAAGCTATACGGCCATATATTTAGTTTTACGAAAAGCATTGAGTGTACATATCTCATTTTGATTTTCTCCATTCTGCGCAGGCTTGCAACTCTTACTCTTACTCTTCCATGTCTTTTGCTTAAAAAATATGCTTTTACCTTGCTATTCGTAAATCATTTTTTGTTTCCATATTTTTTTAAATTAAAATTACTAACACATTAGTTATTCACTATGCATTTTACATAGCAGTTTTACTATACCTTCTTGTTTGCATACGATTTTCGGCGATTTACTGCAACTAGGTTTTTATTTAGCTTGTTAAGTTTTTACTTCCACGCGCCAACTGTCTTCAATTTATGCTTTTAACCTGTTCACTTAGCACCTAACAGTAATTAAGGATATTGGGGGTGTATGTCTATTTTACAAGGTGTCCTTATCGTAGCTTAAACGTATTTATTCTATTCCTAATAATTCCTTAATTGGATAACACTAGAGATGCGATTAATCAATAGTCAATAATAATTGGCAATAATATTAATAATGCTCTCAATTCAAAATTTACACATTGCCATAATTAATATACACATCATGTTGATAATAGTTAATAAAAAATGCATTAATGCTAATCATAAATCGTTGATAATATAGTATTTGTGTAGATAGAATAAGAGTATTAAGTTCTAAGTTGCGCAAGTAGACTCAGTACGATAAGTATAGGATTAAAAGTGAATTTAAAAAGTGTTTGTTAGGTAGGCGATAGCTTTTGAGCAGTCACATGTGCGGGGAAGCTTTCACGTAGACCTAAAGCAAGGAGTTGTTTGGGCTTTCAATAAATATACATTCCTAACGAATGTAGGAAAGTATCAGCAGTACATATTTCGAGCTTTTACATTTCTATGATACCATTACGAGAATTTACTTGACGGAAAGAAGCTTTAGAATATTTTTAAATTCCCCAAAAGCCGGCATGAGCCAGCGAAAATACCTAATCCCCTTCATACTTGGGATATAGATTGTTTCTGAGTGAACTAGGGTTTCTACATTAAAAAAAAAGACACTGAATGCCAAACCTGGCTTATCTCCAAACCAAATTTGGCAAAGGATGACATATTTAAAAGTGACAGTGAAGCCAATTAATATAAGCTCCTCAGGCGGCTGAGATTGCCAAGCTTTTACTTTGAACGGCAGCTTTCACTTTGTATATGGAAGCTTTCACTTTATCTCGCTTTTCCTTTTTGTCTGAAAATTAAAAAAAAAATCTTATGTTTAAGTTGAATAACTTTGCCTGAAATCAGTTGCATTATTTTTCAACATTTAACAAAATAAAGAAGGTTTTCGAACTTTGGTGTGTAGATATACATATGTATGTATATACATTCACCGTTTTCTAAGTAGTACCTTGTCGCCTGCCAAAAAAATAAAAAGCAGAGCTCCCAGTTTAAGATGAAAATTTATACAGTTTTATTATTTATCTTTGTTTCTTGTCCATCGTAAGAATTCTCTTACAGTTCACTTATTAAAAAAATATCTCATTTGAAAAATGTGAGAGAATTTGGAAATAAATCGTGTTTTTTGGACTGTAAGCTTCTATACAAACAACAACTACTACCACAGTGTTAAAGCTTTCTCGGACCAACACTTCTTTTATCTTTTTCAAAGCTCTTTTTCAAAAAGATCGTTTATATGCCTTTTAAGCTTCAGTAAGGAGTTGAAGCTTTAAATTTTATTATTTTCTCAGATTCCCACACATTGACCATTTTTACCGTCCTAATGGCTATGCTAAGAGCTATTAGGAGGAAACGGGAAAACAATATATTAAGTAAAAAGCTTTTATGGGTTAAAAAATATAGTACGATAAGCTCGTGAAAAATTTGAAATTTTCAACAATTTTTTAATTTTTTATTTGCAATGAAAGAAGAACGCAAACATTTAACAGAATTTTTTGCATTCAAATTATTTATTAATACTAAATTTAAAGCAAAAAGTTATACAGTTTTTAAACTACATTTTTCAAGTGTATTAAACGACTATTTTTTTATGAGATTTATAACAGTAAAATATAGATAAAAATTAAAATAATTTACAAATTTAAACACTAAATACGCTTGATAGAAGACTTGCATGACATACGAAATTAAAAAAATAAAATTAAGGGTCTCATACACTTGAAAAACTTTGTATAAAAAAATTCAAATTAAAAATATATATAACTCAATATTGTTTACTTAAAAAACGTGTACACATTAAAATATTAAAAGTATAAATGGCATTTGTAGACAATTAAATATACTCTTTTACATTATTTTTGTAATCAATATCTTATGTTAACGCCTTTACAATTGCAGAGTAATATAAAAAAGTGTTAAGCGACTTTAAGTGACGAAATTTCTAATACCGCTTGTATAACTTTTATTGTTTCAACTGAAAATAGTGAAAATATAAAATATTCGAGACGAGAGTTTGGATTTGAAGAATAGTTTGTATGTATATCACAATTTTTGAAAAAATGTTTTGCTTTTCAGTGTCATTAAGCTCCTTTGCGAGTATTCTGGAAATTACTCCGAAGTTGTGGGTAAAAGAAAGCGGGTGGGCAATACTCGAAAACGCGTAAATTTTCACGAGTTTTTAGCGGACAGTTTGGCGGCCACTGTGTGCGAAATAAGTGTTGAAAATTTAATAAATGACTTTGTTTTGTTTTGCGAAGAGCGAGAGAAAAGGAATTACTATAATTTAAGAAAAGCTTTCGTTTGGAATGAAAATTAAATACAAATTTTATATTTTAATTGCAAAATGAGTATTTATGAAATCAGGAGTTTTAATTGCATAGTAAATGCATTTGGCAGTTCTAAATGAGTGGTGAGTATGAGTGCATATTTTAAGCAGTCCAAATGACGGAAAAAAATTTTTTGAATAATAAATTAAAAAAAAAAAAATATAAAACTATTGCATTTTTCATAGAACGAAAACAAAGTTTTAATATTTTTCGCAACCATTATAGAGAAGAAAGGAGAAACCGAAAAGTTAGCTTTACAGAGAAGAATTTTGAAATAAAAACTTCAAGTTTAAATACTTTGGCAAGAATTATAAAGAAAAGTTTAAAAACCGAAAAAATAAGCGTAAAAAATTAATTGTGATTCGTTGCGAGAAAATACGTGAAATTTCATCTGCCAGCAAATAAATTATAAAATTTTACTAATCTATGCCTGCTTTTTAACATTTTTAGCCTACTTTTCTTTCTATTTTGCACCAAATACTTATTTTTCTTTCGTTTTGTTTTCTTAACTCTGCAATTATACAAAAACATTCAGTTACACTAAGTTTTTTCATTTTCTTTTTTATTCCTCCTCTCTAAGTGTTTTTGCCTATTGTATGTGTGTATGTATATGTATAATACTTAATTTGCTAGTCATTACTGCACCGTCACATTTACCACTTAACCTTTTAGTTACATGGCTCAATGAACCGCCTTGATTTGTTTTACTTTATACAAAAATTAAATATTTTCTTTCTTAATAATTGCACGCCAAATGGCATAGTATACAACTTCAAACAAAAAAAAAACATTCGAGTGATGTGTCAGCCTATTGCCTTTCTATGCTGATTTCTTTTTGCTGCGGACTTCGAATTTCTGCTTTCCGATTTGTGATCTCTAACCGTCCCCATTTTGCCTTTTTTTCCGCACGCTTTAGCTCTTTCTAAAAAATGTTTCTGATCTTAATATCTGTCTACTTCGCTTAGCTCCTAGAAGCTAAGTACTTTTATTGTTTTATGCTAAATGATTTAGTTTTCGATTACTCAACTGCATGTTCCTTGCTATCCTTTGTTTTTACAATTTTGCTCTTTTCGTTCGATTTTCAATTGAATTTCAATATTCATTGTGTATCTAGTGGTGTATTGATTCTTTTTCACACACATACCTACACTTAGTATTGTATTTTACTCGTACTCACACATATGCTTTTCTAAGTAATACCCACTAAGTTTTTAATTTTAATTTGCTTTTCCCATTTCTAAATGGTAATAGTATTTGTTGGTTGGTAGGTATCGCTAATAATATAAGTCGTCTGTCTCTGTGCCTTTGCTGCGATAATAGTGCTGATCGTACTTGTTGTTATTGTAGTAGTATTCGTCTTGGTAGTTGTAGTCTTCATCATCACTAGCATTAATTTCGTTTAAATCGTGTTGACCACGTTCGTGTATCGGCTGCACGTCGTCGTCGTCGCCATCGTCATCGCCATCACTACTGCCACTGCTATTGCTGTCGTTGTCCAGATCCAGTGTGGTTTTATCGGTTTGCATTTTGTTTGTAGTTGTGCCTATATCCCAATCGTCGTTAAATGCGTAATCATCACTGAACTTATGCCCAAACTCCTCCCCCACACCATTCTCTAATAGCTCGCGCTCCGCAGCAACACTAATTTTTGTCACAGTTATCTCCTCACTACTCCATTTGTTCGCCTTGTTGTCACTCGTATCGCGTACTCACGCACTCAAATCCATTACACGTAATTGTTGGTGACGCGCTTTCGCCGTACGATGTCCATTGCCGATCTTTCTTCGCTTGCGTTTTGCATCGCGCTGGAACGCCACATTGCCTGGATCGTCGGCTAGTTGTGGGTACTTATGTATGCTGTGTATGTCGATGCCAATCCAGCCATCGACATCACCGTGCGACACCAGCTCTTCTTTCTCCTCTTCGGTCCAGTCGCCACGTCCCTGGAAACCGGCAGCAACCAGCTGTTTCTCTAGCTCCCACGCCCGTTCGACTGCGCGCTTGTGCGCGTGCTTGAGTATGCGATGTCGCTCCTGATCTGGATCGACACCATACTTGATAATCACCACCGCATCGGGCCCATGCAGCCGCAATTCCTTTGCTGCAGCGCCACCATGATCGGTCACCTCGTGTGTTGATATGTTGAACATGCCACCGAGCCGGCGCAGTTCTTCGTTGTCGTCGCGCAATTTGAGAACATTGTCCTTGACAAAGTAGAATACATCTTGATCGTGTATACTGAAGTGCAGGTCAAGGAAGTAGGAATTGTTGAAGACGGATGAGACCACATCTTGCACCACGCTGTTCGAACCATCGACAACGCTGACAAGTGCACGTCCGCCTATGCGCGAGAGCAGCACACCCTCACCGAAGACGCCACGGCGGTAGCTGATGCGTGGCAGCAGATTGCGCATTTTCGGTTCCATCTTCAGCAGCGGCTTCGGCACGAAATCAAAGTCGCTGAACTTCTCGTTGGTCTTCTCTACTATGCATTCAAGGCCGGAAATGACGCCGAACTCGGGCGCTAGGGTGTTGGATTTGATAGATACTTGTGGCACATATTGCGCTTCTTTTGTATACTTGGAGCTCTGCATGTTGCGCAAGTCATAGCCGAAGAGTTGCAGCCACGACTCCAAGTCGATCATGTAGTTCTGCGGCTTGTTGGGGTTTACGGGGTCGTTGTTGTGGTAGCGGTAAATGAAGACATCGGTTGGGTTGGACATCTTAGTGGCCAGTGTCTCCCACTTGGGTGTCATCCACTGACCAACTGTGGGATCATAGTGACGTCCCTCGGTGTATACCAGTTTTGTGTTGGGATCCAGCAGACCACCATGGAAGTCAATGGGTATGAACAAGTCTGGATTCGTATCTTTGATGATGCGTCCAAATGGCGTGCGTCTCACATCTTTTATGATGCTGCCATTCGGGTCGAAGAATGCTAGTGGTGAGCCATTTTGATCGGTGGCCACGTAGTAGCGCTGATCGCCGTTCTCCACTACAATTAACATATCGCGGTCATCGTAGAAGAAACGTAAAGTCTTACCGACTTTGGGGAAGTGTACATGCGTCAGCAGCTTCGGTGTCTTCGGATTGGCATAATAGTATTGTGTTACGTTACCTTTGCTGTCGTGCCAAGCGATCAAGCGACTTCGGTCGTCATAATAGTACCACGATTGGAAGCGATCTCTTTCAAAGGCGTGTATCAGCTGACCGCGGTTGTTGTAGCGGTATTTCTGCTCACCACGACGCACTACAAAGCCACGCGCATCGTAGTTATTAAACTCGATTTCACCGACTTGTATAACGCGGTCACCAATGTCGTAGCCGAGATTGATTTTCTCTCCTTGATCCACTATGCCTACAGTATTGCCGTTCTCATCGTACAAGTACTTCCAGTTGTTGGTGCCGAGTACTTCAATTACGTGTCCATCAGCGTTGTAATTGATTTTGTCGAAAGACGTGGATCGGCCCAAGGTCGTCTTCTGTGATTTGATGCGATTGCGTAGATCGTAGTCCAACTCGAGACGGAAGACATCGAAGCTCTTAATGTTCATGAGCACACTCTTAGCGCGGCCATGTTGATCGTAATCGATGATGGTGAAGAATTGCTTCGCGGAGTCTTGGATGACGGTGCGATTGAAGGCATTGCGTGTTATCTTCAGATCCTGCACCACTTCCAACTGACCCAAGTTCTGGCTGTACTTATAGCGCGCTGTGGGCACCTCCTTGTCGTCAATGGACATCTCAATGCCACTCATGCGCGCATTACCATCATACGAGTACTTGTAATGTGCAGAGGCTAGTGAGTTCTTCGAGCCGAAACGTACCTTCTCATCCTTTAGAATGCCAGCGTGATATTTGAATTCGCGACGCAACTCAAATCCGGGCTCTTGCACCTCAACCGATTTAATAAGGCTTGTGGTGTCTTGATAGGTGTAATGCGTGCTCGAAAGCCCAGCTAAAATAGTTTCCAAACGGCCAGCGGAGTCGTGAACAAACGCCACTTTACCAGATTGATGTGGATGTATCTTCGCCAGAATTTGCCCCTCATCGTTGTAAAGTATTTCGAAGGGATGGCGATTGATCGGCGAGAAGTATTGATACTTGAAAAAGCCGAGTGACGTCTGCAGGGAGAATGCATGTATGTGGCCTCGTGGCGTGGTCAAGCTTTGCAGTGCACCAGCGTCGTCGTACTGTAGTAGATAGTCCGAGCGCCGTGGTGTGGTCACCTTCAATGGCAGCGAACCGAACATGTCTTTGAAGGCATAAACCATAGACGAACCATCGCCGTACTTGATTTCATTCAGCCGACCGTTGCGATCAAAGGTGTATGCTTCCTGCAGCACACCCCACTTCCAGCTAACCAATCGACCAAAGCGGTCATACTCTAAATCGACATCAGCATAGTCGCCTGATTGTGGACGGAAGCTCACTGGACGTGCAGTGCGGTCGTAGGTCACGTTCAAAAGTTCTTGCTTATCATCCACCAACACCACAACTGACTGCGTATCGCGGTCATATTCGAGTGTGAGCACATTGTCGCCGTTGACGCGTAGCTTACGTCCCACCTGTGAGACTGGACGCGGTCCTTTGCCTTGCTTGCCTTGCTGTATACGGCGCACAAAGTAACGCCACTCAAAACGATTAGCCAGATCGCCAGCGATTTCCGTACGTTGTTTGGCTGGAACTGGATAGCTCTCGCCAATTACTGGGTTGATTTCAGCCAATATGGCGTATGGCACCACCTCCACCTGCACGGTATGACCCCACGGCGTCAGACTTGTCATGGAGCCATCCATCTCAACCGACGTCTTCGATTCGGCAGCACCATTGCGCACCATGACTGTGGAGCCTTGTATCAGCATCGACTGCTCCTTTTGCGCATTCTCGGAGATCTTCACTTGTGCACCTTTAACGCTCAGATCGAATACCAAGTCAATGACGCGACCGGTGGGTGTGACCGCCGAAGTGAGGCGCCCAAATTCATCGTAGTTGTAGACATAGGAGCGGCCAGTGGAGTCAAGTTTAGTTTTTAGCAAGCCAGTTGGGCCGTGGTACTCGAAAGTCACGTTGTAGTTATCTGGTGTGCTAAGTTCGTGGAGCATCTTCATGCGTGTCATGCGTAGGCGGCATTTCTGACCCTTGGTATTTTCGATGGAGTTCACCTGTGAGGTGTAGTCACGCAGCAGGAAAACCTTATTGCCCGCCGCATCAGTCACAGTGCTCAGTTTGCCATTGGAGGTGTTGACATTGTACGTGAAGACGTAGGTGGTTTCACCAGTTAGAATGTTCTTCGTGGAGACATGCTGACCGAAGCGGTTAAAGATGTAAATTTCCTGCATGTCGGGTGCATAGATCTCATACTCCCGTGACGTGCTCGCCTCAGGAATGCTGGACATAACAGAGCGTATGCGATAGTTTGCTTGATCGGCGATGTGCACGTGACCGTCAGGAGTGACTGAGAGCGCAGCGATTGTGTTAAATTTGGCGCTTGTCGCAAGGAAGTGTTCGGCCTCGAAGCAGTCGCAGCCGCGTTCCAAGCAATTGCATTTCGATTCAGCGCCAGCGAACGGAGCAATACGCCCATCCGTACCAATTACACGCACGCGATTAATACGCTGCGAGTCGCTCTCCGCCACATACAGCTCGCCCATAGGCCCGAATGAAATCGACTGGGGCATGACCAGTGTGGCGTGTGTTGCCAAATCGGAGTCGTAGACGGTAGAGGTAGTGGCGCAGTGCAGAGGCCGGCCGGAGATGACGCGCACACGTCCATCGGGAGTCATGCGTAAGATCATGTGGTCATCGATGATGTGGAGCGTATTGTCCAATGGACTCACGGCCAGCTCGGTGGGCCAACGCAAATGCATCTCCTCCAGCTTCAGTGTGCCCTCGCAGGGAATAGGTTTCCAGTGTGACTTGTGCATGTGATTGCCAATCAGCGTGGTGACTATGCCATCACGATCCACCATACGTATGTTTGTGCCATCGGCGAAGTAGAGTATGTTGTCGCTGGATATGGCGATGCCCTTGGGATAGGCCAGCTTTGCATCCTTAGCCAGCGCGCCATCACCACAATGCGCCTCATCGCCCGGCAGACAACGTTCGCCCGAGCCGACAATGGGTTCCCAGTTCTTTTCAGGTTGCGAATAGTCGTTGGTGTCGCGTACGCGTATGATTTGATGTGACTCTGGATCTGAAATGTAGAGCGTGCCGTCGAGTGGACTAAGCGCCATGTGATAGCGATAGGAAACGCGCGTGGCATTCAACTTGACGACAGTGCGTATGCTGCCATCAGTCATGATGCGGCGTATGTAGTTGAAGTCGCCAACATACAGGCTACCATCAGGTGAGGAAGCTAAAGCGACCGGTGCCAGCAGGCGTTGCTTGTAAGCTAAACCTTCGCAATCGTTGCACTCGAGCGGCCGCTGATGGCCATCACCCATTGTGGTGAGTATGACACGCGGTTTGTTCTTTAAGTAGATATTAGAACCATCGCCCTTTTGTAGGATACCTTCGTGGAAGTTGTAGCGGTGATGAATGTCCAAATTCCAACCACCCACCTCGGATATGGACATGTCGTGACCAGACAACTTGGTGGTTTGTATATCCCAGATGATGTCCTTGCAATCGGTGTATTGATAGCCCACTTTTACTACTGCCGTTGTCACACCATATACACGCTGCCTATAGATGTTCAAGCGATTCCAAGCATAAGTGAATTTAATGCCCGGATCAGCTTCGAAAACGCGTTCGAATAAAATGCCTTCGATTGTTATGCGCAGATGAATCAAGTGAAGCGTTTCAGGTATGGTTTCAGGGGTCAGCTGCAGCTTTATTGTCGAAAGGTAGCCAGCGGCGCGCGACGAATGATACACCAAATTCAAGCCCGTGCCGGGAATCTGCAGCGACTCCTGTATCACCTGCGATTCAGCCAAGATGGCAGAGCGATCCGGGCAAGCACCTTGGAAGCCATGCTTCCACGAGGCCAAGACAACCGGTTTCATGAGATCGTAGTCGTGTGAGAAACACGTGTGTGGTATAGGCACCACATTCTTCTCCTCCGACATGGACATCACCACCACATCAATGATGACCACCTCATTCCAGGGCACTTGTACGATGCGCGACTGTGGACGGAAGGGCGAGCGGCCGAATTGGAGAGTCACAGCGCCACCGCCATTTACCATTAAATCGAACCAACCATCATCACGTGTAAGCGTGAAGCCTTCGAGGAGTGTTGTGGTGGAAACGCGCACACCCACCAAGCCCATGCCGAGTGAGGTGACAACGCGACCGCGTATTACGGCCGAACGGCTGTGGGAAAAGAGAGCGAGAAAAATGAGAGAGTTAGCACACAGCTTTAAGTAGAAGTGGTGGCTACTAGATATTGAAAAATACTTGGTGTAGTAGATTACAATTAAGTATTTAAAATATGTTTAAGAGAGTACGAAATATTTACTCATATATGTACATATGTATGTATGTAGCGAACGGTAATGAAAAATATAATTAACAAGCAGTCGAATAAATAAAAAAAAAATAAACTATGGAACTTGCGCTAAAAACATATTGACATATATTTAGGAATGTAATTGAACTACTTAAATAAATAACGGTAAATTGCTAAATTAACAGCAAATAAGGTGGAAAGAATTCAAACATAGAAGTACACACTCACATGGAAAAAGAAAAAAATGGTTTTTCTCAACACATAAGAGACACAATTGAACGAAGTTTGAACGAGCGAAACAGCGAACGAACGAACAAATTTTTTACAAGGTGTTCGTAAATATTTAAGCGAATTTTGTGTTTTAGTTGCTTATAGCGGTAGTTTTTAAAAAGTTTGGAATATTTTTTTTAGTCTTCTATTGTAACTAAAATTTGATTTGTTTGGGGGATTGCTTGGAATATTTTTTTTTATTCATTAATTATGATTGTTGAAGTGAAGCGCGAAAAAATGTAAAAATTTAAAAAAAAACACGTTAAGTAAAATTACGAAAGAAATGCACTACAAAGAGCTTAAAAATGGCACTACATAATCTCAAAAAGATTTATATAAATGTGAATTGGGGGAACTTAGTAAAAAAATAGTTCCTGATGGGGTTAGTTAAATGGTTTATTGTTAAGAGAAAAAATGTAAAGCGTTAAAAATTGAAGCGATTAAAAAAAGTATTGAAATAATTCTGGAAAATTGTGCACAAAAAAAAAAAAAAAAATTACAAAAGGAGAACTTAAAAATTGAAAGTCAAGTACCGAGTGTTAAAACGATTAAAAAATTACATAAATAAAAATCCAACAAAAAATAAAATGGCACCACATAAACTCAAAAAGATTTATAAAAATTGAGGGAATTTATGTAAAAAAAGGTTCCTGAATGGGTTAGTTAAATGGTTAATTCTTAAGAGAAAAAATTTAAGGGATACAAAATCGGAGCGATTACAAAAAGTGCTAAGGTAGTTGTAAAAATTGTGCACAAACTAAAAAAAAATTCAAAATGTGAAAATTAAAAGAAGTGTGAGTTAAGAGAAACTAAACAATAATTAAAAAATGAGAAATAAAATGGAACAGAAAAATAAAATGAAATTTAATTAAAAGCGGAAAAATAAAATAAAAAAATCAAAGAAACAAAAAAATAGAAAAAAGAAACCAATTAAAATAAATTAAAATTAAGTTAACTAAAATGAAATAAAATCCTATAAAACAGGATAGAATAGAAGGATATATAATATCGATAAAAAGTAAAAAAAAATTCTCAAAAAATTTCTTTAAAAAGTGAAAATGTGAAAAAAATTTTCTACGCAAATATTAAAAGGGAATATGATTTATATAGCATTAAAGTGGTAGACTTATGCCGGATTTCCACTAGGCATTGAATTATAAAAATTTTAATAACAAATTTGGGCATTAAAAAATACCTGTGCGTTAAGAAAAATTGTCATTAAACTCGTTTCCAGATGGCATTTTTTAAATGGCACACATTTTACGTCGTTTCAATGCCTGGTGGAAATTTGGTATTGGAACAGATATTGAAAAAGTTAAAAAATAGTTTCATGTGAAAAAATTAAATGAAAATGAGATGGTTATAGCATCATAAGATTTTGAAAAAAATAAGGTTACTAAAATGATAAACAAAATTTAAGCAGGATTTTTCGACCTTAATAAAGCAAGAACTTAAAAAAAATTATAAATTAAATAAGAAAAAGTAAAAACTAATAATAAAATGAGTGAAATTCCATAGAATAGAAAAATTTAGAAAATCACTATTATATAAAATGCAAATTTACAAAACTGAATAAACCAAAGACGAAAAGCATCAAACAACCATCGAATTGTTTTAAAGAGTATTTTTAAGTTAGTTATTTTAGTTTGAGCGCTTTAGCTTTTGCTTACCTTGCATTGAAATAATTCCAAAAAATGCTGTTAGTGTTTAATGAATTTCGATACGGATTTTGTTGGTTACGATTTGTTTGTTTTGAAATTTTTTGTAGTTTTTTATTTTGAGCGAATCGAAAAATGCCGAAAGGTATGCAAATCGAATGCATTTGAATCGAACAAATCGAATTATTAGTAAAATTGGTTATGTGTTCGCAGTAGTAGTAGTAGTAGTAGTAGTAGTATTGGTAGTAGTGATGTTGGTAGTAGGTTAGTAGTAGTATTTTTTTTTGGTAGTAGTTTGAGGGCGCGCGTGTAAGAGAAGAGAAAAGAGTAGAGAAAATTAATTGCATTAGCTTTGAATTGATGATTGGATACGTTGAAAAATTTGTTTGTGTTTGGTTTTTTTTTTTTCAAAACACAAAAACTAAGACACGTGACATTAGAAATATTTCACAAAAATATATATGTATGTAAACCTAGAAGATTTGTTTTTAACATTAATTGTTTTAAAGCTATAATTTAGCAAGCGACGCCTGGTCGGCGCAATTATTGCGCGCACTTACAGTTTAATTTTGTTTTTGTAAAAACTTTAAAATTCTGTTACCTATTTTTGGGGTGTTTTTTTCAGGTGCAATAACAAAAGACAAACAGTGGGAATTATTTACACATAATTGACGTTTCACTTTTTTCACATGTATGGAATATTATTTTGAGGACGGGAATTTTGAGACAAGGGCACGATAACTTAAAAAGACCAAAATTTAAGAACTGAAAAAAGGCAAACTAGTTATTATTATATGCATTAACTGCAATCTTTTGTGTCTATCCGGATATTTATATACACTATATACATTCAAAAATCAGGTTTTTGGTCAATACAGAATTTTTATTTTTTTTTTTTTTGAAACAAACGAAAATATTTCGCCAATTGCATATTGCTTGAATTAATATTTTTTTCTAGTTTCCGATCAACATATGTAACTAATTTTGAAACCGAATAGAAATTATATAAAATTAAGTGCACAAATTGGCAAACACATTTGAACAAACCTTTCATTGAAAGTCTCGAGTTTCGCATAATTCTGCAGGCTGCTCTCATCAATTAAGAATTTCATGCGTTCGAAGAAAGAAGCGGTAATGGCTGGCGGTTGCTTCCTTAGCAACACATCGATCGGTTTCGGTGCGGATACGCATAGCTGCGACGTCTTACAGACATGGCTGGCACAGCACTCGGGATCCTCGCAGTCGACGAGACCATCTATGATCGAAAAAAAACAAACAATTAAACCAGAATCTGCAATTAATCTGCCTTTACTCACCTTTGTCATTGTCCTTGCTATCGCCACAGTTCAGTTCGAGCGCTATGCCGCAGTCGGGTCCATCCCAGCCTTCGTAACAGCGACACTCCCATTGTCCCTCGCCGCTCACACGACACTGGCCATGCGACGAACAGCCATTCGGGCAACCCTCGATGGTGCAGTGCTTGCCATTCCAGCCGGTCACACACAGGCAAGTGCCATTCTTGCACTGCCCATGCTCATTGCAACGCGTGTCACAGAGCTTCGTATTGCAATACTCGCCACCCCAATCGGGATCGCAGGTGCAGGCATCGCCGACGCAGCGGCCATGTTGACCACAATCCAAATCGCACAATTCTTTCGAGCAATCGTCGCCACTCCATTTCGGTTCGCAGGTGCATGTCTGCGTGTCCAAATCGAAGGTGCCATGGCCAGAGCAATCGGGCAGGCATTGTAGCGCATCTTGATCCATAGTCGCACAGTCGGGACCCTTCCAACCCTTCTTGCAAATGCAAGTGCCATCAGCGCAGAAGCCATGTCCCGAGCAGTTTGGATGCGGGCAGTCAACTAGAGCGGGATGAAAAAAGAGAAAAAATTTAAGAATTTAATACCGGGCAATGAGCTGCTGTAAAGCGCTGCGATACTTTGGGATTTCCCTCTCACTAAAGTGCAGAAATTCTCTAGCAAATCTTCAGTCATTACCTTCCTCACAGAATTTTCCCTTATAGCCGCGCATGCATTGGCACTTGCCGCTCACGCAGTGACCATGTCCATTGCAGTCGGCCACTTCGCATTCATCGTGACGCAGCGAGCACTCTTTTCCCTTCCAACCCGGATTACAAATACATTCGCCATTGATATATTCGCCATGTTGTGAGCACAGCACTGGGCATACGCTCTCGCTGCAGTCGTCGCCACCAAAGCCGGGATTGCATTGACAATGTCCGAGCAGGCATTGTCCATTGCCGGAGCAGCCATTCGGGCAGTTCTGTGTCATATCTTCGGCAATGGCGGCATAGAAGGCGACCTCTTGGGCATCGCCATCATCGTTGTATAGCGAGACGAACCAATGACCGGGTTCCATGTAGCGTGTGACTTCGCGTGTTATCGATAACTGTACGCGCAACATCGATTAAGAGCATGAGAAAGGGAGCGCGTAGGCGAGCGGATATGAGTGAATGAGTCAAAATCATAGGCGCGGTTGCAGCGTAGGGAAGCGCGCAGCGATGATTGATGCCCAGTGATGAATTCAAATGTGTCGACATGATGTTGGTATGTGTTTGTGGATGGTGGAACATTTAACGCATGAATGTGTACAGAATTGTGTGTATGTTTTGGTGTGCGATCGGGATGAAAAACAAGAAAAACACAGAGAAACAGTTTGGTTAATCAAGCATTAGTTGTATGTTAATCAGTTTGAGGCAACATTTAACACTAAAAATAAGACCTTTAAATTAAATACCCAGCTTAATTGATATACTTAAAATAAAAAAAAAGTATGTAAAACAAAAACAAAACTACTCACGTGTGCCGCTCGTGCTGTCCTTGTGCTTGCGCTAAAACCACTTAGCACTTCTTTGAAGTGATACTGCGTATGCGTTGGCAGCGCATTGCGCCTTCCATAGACACCAATCGAAGCGCCACGCGGTATGGTATAATCGAATTTCACATAAGCCGGTTCCGATTGATAGAATTGCATATTCCAATAGCTGTAGGGTTGTATCTCCTTAGTCAACTTTTGTCCCAAAGTAATTTGCCCGAAAGTAGTGCCATCTGGTGGGAAACTGCGTGCTGGAAAAGTACGCGCGCCTACACCGCATTACGCGAGCATTGAGTGAGTGCGCGTGAGCAGAGAGCGAAAAAAATGAATGCGCACAAATTGCAGCAATGAGTGATGGTGTGAGTAGCCGCCGAAGTGATGAGCGCGATGCGAGTAGAAAGACATTTGCGAACACACACATAATGATGAGAGAGAGAGAGAGAGAGAGAAGAGAAAAAGGGAAAACCACGAATTGTTTTTAGACATTTACATGGATTTTTTTCGTTTAAATATGAGCAGATTTATGCTTAAATAATTAAATATAGGCGTAATTTATACAAAATTTACAATTTTTGGGGTAAATTTACAAAATCCAGATCTTCTCTGCTAATGTGTTTTCTGAAGATCTTTTGGTTCTACACACAAATGAAGTATGAAATCGTGGTGTTCTACATATCGTCGTTTAAAGTACAAAACGGCGTATCAACAAAATGCAAAACCGCGTATGTGAGGTTGCATAAATTATTTTCTAGAGAGTAAAAACACTCATATTTCAAAATGGTTCTCTTTTTTATAAGGCAATCGCATTTCTGGGTAGTATATTTCAGGACCACGATTGAGAGAAATAGAGGTTGCGCCAATCACGGTACCGCTATTCCTCTCTCAGTGAATTTGACAGAATCGTTGTTTGTATGACGTCACACTTGTGTAAGTTGTTTACGTTTTCCTTGCAACATTTTTTCTTCTTCTTCCATTCTTGCTCACGTTTTGGCATTTCTCTCTCGCAATCGCACCAGTGTGACATCACACAAAATTTATTCTCAAAAATCCTCTCTGATAGGCGCAATCTTGTATTCTATCATTCTTGTTTCAGGACGAATGGATAAAGATTGAGCCAAGAGCTTGTGTGAGCAAATCCAGTTTTTGGTAAAAATGTCAGTTATGCGGTTTTGCAGAACGACGATATGCGGCTTTGTACTTTAAACGACGATATCATTTCTTTATACTGTGAACTTGCAGAGTATGTCAATTTAAGTTGGAAAACGATTCTTCTACCTAGAAGGTACTACACATTCTGTTCATTATGTCAGAGCTTCCCTTGCTGATGAACTCTATACTTTACTGTGAGCATTCGTACTAGTGTCGATTTGTTTTTCAATAACAGATGAGTATGTCGTTGGTTTTTATATTGTTTAACCTTCATCGATCATCTATATGAAGGGCATTGTTCCTCTGCGCCCTTGGCTTGCTCTTTGCTTTGTTCGAGGTAAGGCCATACATATATATACTTAGGAGAGCGCTTGGTGGGATTGCAAATAGTAAGTTTACATGAATGAAAGAGAGAGGCTTTTTAGCATTAAGCTGCACTGGCAATTCATTCACCTTTGTGTTGCCTAACTCTCCCTGCATATATGTAATTTTCAACCAACTTATTTTGAAACGTAGTCATATTCCTAATATCGGTAGATGTAAATTTTTAGTCTACGTAATATGAAAAAATTACTTTGAAATAGACGCGAAAAACTTTAACGAAGAACCAACGAATTGTGACTGAGCTTTTATTATGAAAATTGTATGTACATGTTGGGTATGATTATGAATAGCAATAGTGAATAGGTGGTCATGATGATTTCAATTTCGCTTTTGGATGATGTCATGATTTGGGTTTTGTTTTCCACTGCCAATTTCTGTACTCCAGGTGATGATTATGGTATTAATGCATATGAGATAGTTAGCAGTAATGAGTATTCAATTCAAATAATTTTTTCTTAAATACTTAATAAGTACTAGAGAATTGAAAATTGTAATACTTATATACATATATGTATAATCTATTAAGCACTCGAATAAGTTCTTGATATTTTTTGGAGTGAGTCCTTGATGTTGGATCTATCGTCTTTTTTTTTGTTTTTGAAGGAAGTACGGATACTTATGAAAGAGTGACTTATATCTTCTGCTTGTTTATGGTAAATATTTTGATATTTATTTCACTAAGTCATTGAGCAGTATAAGTTAAATCAAGTGGTACTAGTAGGACGAAGTTTTACGCATTTAATGTAGTTATGTGTGTACACTAGGATGCGTCATCCTCCATTACAAAAAAAAAAAATCGCTGCTGGGTTTCCATCGGAATTATAAAGTTTATTATATTTTAAGACTTGGCAAAAATACTTTGGTAACATATTAAGATTTACGTGAGATGGAACGTTCTAAAAAAAACCGCAAACAATTTTTTTGAAGTGAAACTTCTTTAGTGGCGGTTGGTTGGGGTTGGGAGTAAATGGGCAAATTCAACGGAAATTGCACACGGAAATGGTGCAACGGAAATGGTTGGGGCTGAAACAAGAGCTTCTTGAGTGTATGCAAATGGTATTAATTTAACAAAAACATGCTAATAAAAGGTTAAAGAATAACACTTAGAAAAAGACCAATACAAGAATGAAAGTAAAGGAGAGTACGTACATAGATAAAGAGAAGGATAAAGGCAAAGGAAAAAATAAAAACAAACACAAAGATGCGTAAAGATAAAGGCAAAAATTAAGATCAAGGTAAATTTAAATTTTTGCTATCGATATTTTTATCGATTTTGTTATCGATATTTTTATAGATTTTCCAATCCATTTTGCTACCAATATTATTATAGATTTTGCTATAGAAATTTTTTATGAATTTGTCATCGATTTTGTTAGCGATATTTTTATCGGTTTTGTTATCGATATCTTGTGGGATGTTACTATCGATTTTGTTATCGAAAGAGTGTAAATATAAAAATTAAGATAAAGAAAAACAGAATAACATAAATGTAATTAGAACGAACAGGGTAGAGGTAGGGATAGGCAGATAGAAAAAAGAAAAAAAAATATATTCTTAAGAAAAATTAGATGTATGTATGTATATTGGTTATGAGACAAAATAGATATGGAACGTAAGTTTCACTTCTCCAGTGTGGCCCAGGCGCACTTACTTTTTTTTTGCAAAAAATCACCTCAGATGATAGAAGAATTTATTCTTAAAAGGTCTCCATAAATATGTTAGAATATTTAATTTTTTCGATTTTTGGAGGTATTTAAAAAATTTTTTTTACACAAAATCTTCAAAAATTTAGTTGGTGGTGGCGCATAGCATCAGGCTGCCGCATGACCAAACGAATAAACGATCTGTGAGTTTTGACTAAGTCTACGCCCTGAGGAGTCCCTCAGTTTGTGTAAAAAATTCCTTCGATCCTCAAGTTTTTCACTTTTTTTAGAGTTTAAAGCATTGCTTAAATAAGAATTCATTTGAATTGAGCACCGGCTATACTTCGCCGGAATATCAAACATAATTGGTTTCAGTGAAAATTCACGTACAGCGACTCAAACAAGTGTTCACATGTTTTTTTTTGTTTTTAAATATCTAAAATTTTATGTTATTTTCTTGTACAAATGTTGTTTTTGCTTTAGCCAAAACCATACAAATCAAAGTTTTAAACCCTATAAAAGTTTAGAAATCCGTCAGAAAAGAAAAAAATATTAAAAATCCACCCGATTTTTCGGCGCTTGAAACTTACTAAAGTTTAATGCGCTATTAAACTATATACCCAAAAATTTTCTAAAGAGTTCTGTTAAGTTGTACGAAATTTTGATGAAAATTTGTTGAATTTCCTAATTTTTTTCGAAACTTTGATTAATTATGGTTTTGGTTAAAGAAAGAAGAAAATTTCTATATAAAAACATTTTTTTTTTAAATTCAAAAACATTTGTATGGAATTTATAATTTTAAAACGCTTATCGGCAGTTTATCAATATGAATATCTTTATTATGAGTATTAAAGAAAATCAACATGTGAATACTTCTTTGAGTCACTGTAATTTTCAAAAATAATATAACTTATTCGAGTCTTCAATAATTTAAATATATGATACTAATAAATAAGTAAGCGATTTTATTTTATAAAGGCTAACTTACATATATAATTTTGTATGCCTTGTTTACGTTATATTTATATATACATATGTATATATTTATGTTTATGTAATTTAACCAACCCATTACCGTACCGTATTAACAAAATTTTATACAAATGTAGCACTGTAATAAATTTAATGAAAGTTATGGTTATTACTTTAGAATTATGAAAAGTTAAAACTTCCTCTACCACAGTGATGGGCAAAACGTTGTACGCGCGCTTAGCCATTTTAAGCTTTTTATGCATTTTATGAAGACCAGTAACGACCATCACATAGCCCGAGGGCAAAGCTTACAGTAAATTTTATATGGGCGCCCCCCACAAAGGTAAAATCTCTCTCTGCCCATCACCGCTTTGCCGCCATAGCGAGACAACTTGTTAGATTTCAAATGATGAGATTAGTAAGCCTCGATGTACACGAATCACTGATATATATATTTTGTTTTAATCTACTTTGTTAGTCTACCAAGCATGTGCCAGTGAAAGAGTTAGTACGTTCCTTTAGTTACCATATACCATAAAAGACAATCACCTTCAAGTATCAGAATAGGCATAACATCAGGACATGCAATTTTGCTGCCATCACCAACAACAATATGATCATCAAAACCAGCGCCATGCGACGCATCAACACCAAGCAAATTAGTAAATGAAGTGGTGGTAGTAGTAGTAGTGGTAGCTGTTGTTGTTGCAATGATAGAATCATCGGTAGCGCTATCAATATTGGTTAGCATAGCAGTTGTGATTGGTAAGGGTGTTGGTGGTGGTGGATGTATGGAATCGTCATAAGTAGTGGTCGAAGCAGCAGTGGTAGTGCGATAATTATTTGTGGCTTGCGTGCTAAAATCGATGTCTGCAGCGAGATCACCATCATCGAAAGCGATCGCTTCTGTGTGTGTCAAAAAATCGCTACATTTGCAAGGACATTCTGGTATTGGTGGCGGTGGTTCGGGTATGCAATATGGACTGCTAGTATGGGAAGGTGCTGCTGGGTGTTCATGCCCTTCGCGATGTTGCTCGTCACTTTTCAAGCGCTCATGAGTGAGTACCTCTTGCAGATCATGCGATTGGCCACCTAACGGCACGGCGACATGCAGAGTATACACTGAGTTGCTGTCACCCTCGGTGGCTATCGTTACATTGACCAGTATATGCTTGCTTGGTGGATCATAATACTCACTCACTATGGGCGCTTTGAGTGGAAAGTGTGGTAGTTTTTCAGCATAACTGGCAGGTGCATCGACGTCATCGGCGCTTTTGAGTACTTCGTTTTCGAACGCATTCGGCGCGGGGTGCATAGGCGTAGGCCGACTTGTGACCACTACCTTACGTTTGCTATATATGTGATGCGCCTTATCACGCGCATTTGTATTACCCTCAATAGTTTTGTAGATTTCATCTTCGCTGGAGTGTGTATCCTCTAGCTTGATGATATCGATGTCGTCCGCAGCAGCAATACGTTGAGCATTGAGTTGCGGGTAGTCATTAGCAGGAGCATTCGAATTTAAATTTGAATGTAAATTGCGTTGTATGTTGTTGTGGTTGTTGTTGTTGTTGTCATTGCTGAGCACTTGTGTATAAGTATTTGTTTTAGTATTACTGTGCAGCGGCATTAAACCGTCATTAAGCATCAGCTCATCATCTTCAAAGTTGCTTTCATCAACAGCTGTTGACGCACTTTTTGTCTGGATTAAATGGGTTTTGCTTGTTGTAGCTTCTATTTCAGCTACATCTTCGGTTGCTTCGCCTTCAAATGTTTCATCTTTCTCGTTACTGGCTTCAGTTTTTTCTGCGGGTTGCGCAGTGGGGGCTGCTCCATCTACTACTTCTATGTCGGTCATTTGCGAGTAGCCTCTTTCTGCTACGGTTTCCGTTTCTGATTCTGTCGCTGCCACTGGCGCTTTAACATTTGCTTGGTCTTTAGCTGCCGCGACATCTTCTTCTACTTCCGCTCCATTTTCATTTCCATCTCCACCCAAAACCTCTAAATCACTTTTTCGTCGCTCGCCTCTTTCGGCAGCTGATTTTCTTGCCACTGACGTGCGCTCATTTATCTCCATCGTTTGTCGTTCATCAGCTGTTAACATTATTGTTTGTTTGGTTGTGGTTGTGGTTGTGGTGGTTGTCTCAACGTCATCAACGCCATCAGCGTCGACATGCACACCAGCAATTGCTGTATTTTGCTCAATCGTTGTAGCGCGTCCATTTTGTGTTTGACTTCCGTTTAGTTTAATTTCCAGTTCTCGTCCAGGCGCTTGATTTTCTTGCCATTCCGCGCGCGTGCTCTTTGCATCCTGCTCTTCAACATATTCTCCGTGCGGCGGCTGCTGTTGCTGCTGTTTGGGCTCATTCCTTTCGGATTTATCAATTTTTATGACATTTGACGTGCCTCCGGACAACTCTAGTGCCGGCGATGGTGGCTGTGGCGTGTGCGCGTCATAGTCGCCATCATCATAGCTGTCAACTAAATCACGCTCATTATTGTTATCATCAGTTGCAGCTATGAGCATATCGCTTTCACTATCACTCAACGCGTCATTTGCCGCTCTATTATGGCGATTGATTTGAAAATCATTTGCATCATCAAAATCATGCGAGTGGCTGCTGCACGTGGTAGTTTCTGGCGCGCTTGTTCTTTCTTTCATTTCGTTGTGCGACTTTTGTGTCGTGCCGCTGCCTATTTTATTATCACCATTTGCGGCGACGATTTTGTCTTTTTCCGCAGCGTCGCCGCATTCGTTATTGACTGACACTTTTTCTGTGCCTTCTTCGGCCACCTCATCCTTTTGCGCTGCCATTGCTGGTGGCCTGTCAATTTGATTATCATCATTAATAATCGCATCAACCAATTGCGCTATCCTCGATGCTGTCGTCAAAACGTGGTCAGGTGCGTGTAGCGCGCGCCCCATTTGCTTTTTAAGTTTCTTACTATGTGCTGGCGCGTACACCTTGCGGCCATGCAAATTGCTCCTGCCTGCCTTGTAGGCTTTTTTCCACTTTTCAACTGCCGCGCCACGCATTTTTGCTTCATGTTTGCTAAATGGCGCGGCTGTTGTCATCGATATCTCATTAATTTCAGTCGTCGCTTTAAATGGACTTAGTTTTCTTCTGTTTACTTTGTTAACAAGCGCCGCGCTAAAGTCTTTTCCTTGTCGCTGCGTGTTACCTTCAACGTAATCAATATCACTATAAGCCACATTATAAATGTCACTGGGGACCAATGTAGACGCGGGCGGTGTTGCCAAGGTAGCGCTTTCGTCAGACGCACGCCCAGCGGCTACGTTTAGTTCTCTTTGAACTGTCTTTGATGGCATTCTCCCTGCCGCCTCGTATAATTTCGCGTCATTGTCGTGCGCCGCGTCCGCCTTCTTTTCTATCAACATTGCCACTTCATTATTTTTATCCTCAAAAGCCTTTGATAAAACTTTGGCAATGGTCGTGAATGTCTCACCGCTATGCTGTTCATCAGGCGCGTCGTCATCATATTCGAAAGCGCTAGAAGATGCTTCTTCATCAGCTTCAACTTCAATGGAGACAGCAATTTTTTTGTCATTATTAGTGCTTTGATTGAGACCTAATACGTTATTGATTTGCAAAGTTTGTGCTGTGGCAACGCCGCCAGGTTTTACTGGCGTTTGATTACTGTTGGGTGCATTCTTGTTATTATTGTTATCATAATCACTTTGCGCGCTGTAAGCGCTCATGTCTAGGACATGCTTACTTTCGCCTTTAACTTCATCTTCGCGCTTTTCCGCCGTCGTCACATAATTACTTTCAGCTTTGATGTCAGGCAGCGCGTTCATTTGACATTTATGTTGCGCGCCTGCTTCTTCTGGTGTTTGACAACGAATATTTGTGGCTGTTAATAGATTTGTCGGAGGCGCATTAACTTCATCACTTGCTGTAGTCTGCGTTGCATTGATATTCGCTTGGATTGAATGCGTCAATGTTGCGCTGTCACTAGACTTACTCACCTCAGCGTACGTCGAAGGTATTTTGCTTAAGTTTCCGCCCTCAGCGTCAGCCGCTGTATCGCTTACTTGCCTTTGTGCGTGTGCATGAATGTCAAAATCTTCCATTTTCCGCACTTCCGAGAGCCGCGCGCTCACATTTGCAAGCATTTCTTCCTCTACTGGTAGCGCTGCCAACTCAATCATCTTTGCGTCCAACTCCAACTCCGGCGCTATGCGCTTTGCGTTTTCAACAACTTCAATGCTGTCAGCGACCTTCTCACTATTGCCGACAGTGCGTGTTGCATTTTCATCATTTAAGCCACCACCATTTTCCCACTTGCGTTCAGTGACTTTGTTATTTTTGCCGTTATTGCCTTCGTCGCGCTCATTCATATCATCATACTCTTCGCGAGTTTTTGTAATTAAGTCGATGCTTGCGAAACTTTGGTCTGTCATTAAACTCCGTCGATAACGTTTTTTGCGCGCACCATGTTGTTGTTGCCGCGACAGCAATGGCGTTTGGAGTTTACGATTTTGCTGCTGCTGGCGTTTGATGTGCTGCTGGTGTTTTTGCCACTTGTTACCACCGCTAGTTGCCACTACCGCTACCCAGTCATCACTGCTTGCGTATTTTTGTTGTTGAAACCCTTTGCGTTGTGCGACAGTTGACAGGTGTGTCACTGCCGCTGTTGCTGGTGCTGCGTTATCCTTTGTTAAGTGCTTCCGCTTTTGTTGGGTTGTTTTGTGCGCGTCCACGCGCTTCCAGAGCGACCATGTGGCGCGCATATCTGCTGCTGGCAGCACTTCATATCTGATGCCTAGAGACGTACAGCGCGTATTTTTTCAGAATTTAATTTGATTCTTAGTTTTTAATTTTTTTTGGTATTAAAATTGTTTCGTGAATTTTCGGAATATTTTTGGATAAAACACATTGCTGCTGTCTACCTATATTTCTTCCTCATTAAACTCTAATGAATACCACTTGTGCGTGCTAAGGGGGAAGGGGCTCTTGCGTTCTCTATAAATTACGCAAATTATCTAAATGATTTTAGACAAGCAGGCGACAAAGGCTTTCGTAGACTTGTCGCAGAAATTATGTGTAAAATGTGTTTATTATGCGATTGTACCAATGAGTGCAGCCCCGTCCATGAGCTCAATGGCGGTTGAAGGCATGTAAGGTGAAAGGAATCAACCAAGTTTTGTGGGGACCATGTGCGCTCTTTCGTGCGCATTTCAATGGTAAATTGTGGTAATTGTTTGTTGTATCACTAGAGACGGCCGTATCGGCTTTATTTTGGCTGTACAACTCTACACAAGTATTTATGAGTGACTGTGGTGTACTTGTTTCTAATGTCTCTAATTTCAACAAAGATTTGATACAATTTAACTTGATTTTAATTCGCAGAATTTTTTGCGAATTACTTTTGAACATTTACTTGTGCGCAGGAATATAATTTCATTACTTTGCCAATGAAATACGAATACTTCACTTCTCAAATTCGTGACTTGTGTTGCGGATCAGACTCCGGCAATACTTTAGCTTCATGTTGCCTTCGAAGAGCAGATATATTTCATTGAAACCTTTTTTATGCAAATAAATTCCTTTGGAAGTATAACGGATGTATTAAACAAATTTATCCAAGCTGAGCAGGCATCAATTCTGACCTGATGCGTGCATGTTGGCTGCAATAAGCATAAAAAAAATTTCGTCAAAATCCTGAGCTAGAACCGACGGGGCTTAGTTAAATTATCACTCAGTAATTTTTGGTTAGGGTTGACACATCCCTCAAAAGTAGGACGCTGCCTTCATACAGCTTGGGGCTGCAGGTGACCAGACGTGACAATCCTCTAATCCGGAGAGTAGTAAAATTTTTAGCCAGATGGTCGACAGCGGGCATCGGCATACTAACGGCCTAGGAGCAACTTTTAGAACACTCAGTTCACTTTGTTGGGCAGTTGGTCATAGGATAAAATGTTTAACAACCAGAACATCAAAAAACAAAAACAAGAAGGAAAGGAAGTCTGTGTAGAGCTCCCTAAGCAAAAGCGGTCCAGCGACAACTCAGGCCGCGATAACCAGGGAAGCTGTCACCAAGCAGAGTGCGCACCAGGGAGGGCAACGCTAGCTATCATTCCGCGTTTGGAAGTCTTAGTTGATCTTCCATGTCTGCAGAGCGAAAACTTAGCGCGAAAGAGACTGCTAAATCAGATTCAAAACTCAAAATACGTTAATACCTTTAAGAAGAAGCAGGCAAAAGTTATGTCTAAAAGGCAACTATCAATAGACGGATTAAGACCAGAAAACGGACGGCGAAAGACCTAGAGACAGTTTAGCTTAGGTGTGGCGTACTGAAAGAGAAACCTTTGAACCCAAATAAAGTTGAGCCTCTGCCACAGACTCTTTATGGACAGCTGAAGGAAAGAAAGGCCGAAATATGTAGCGGGGGAGCTGCTAAGCGCCCCGGGAAATAGGACGAGCCTGGAAAACCAAATCCCTTTTCAACGATGCGTATTGTTTTTGCCTATTAAAAAATCAATAAATGGCAGTGCTTATCGTTTGGATCCCGCTGATCTACCGTAGGGCGCAGTGGCTATCTCACGTGGGTTGGGCCTCAACTGTAGTGCCTCATTTAGGCCTCTTGAAATGCGTTAAACATTGCTTAGTCTTCAGCAGTCGTGTCTTTGAAATTTTTGTCGCAGTGAACTTTGTGTTCGAGTAAATATGGGGGTGTTTTTTTTTTTTAATGAAACTGACCAAATGTGAAAAACTTTTCTTTCACACTTGCAATTACAAGTTCCAATTTTAAAAATTACTAGTTCTTTTGTTTATTTAATATTTATTATCTTGATGTAAAAGTATAGCTCCATTATCTAAGAAGTTCATATATAAAACTTTGTGAAAAAATTATAAAAATTCTGCAAAGTTGCATCTAATTTTTCGACTTTTTAATTAGATTTTGTACTTGTTTTTGAGTATGTAGTTTTATAGCTCATTAAATTTAGTGCAAGTTTGAAATCCTAAGAAATCGCATTGTTTTTTAATATATTTTTTTCTGAATGTATTATGCACTTTTTTGCATAAAAAATTGCCAAAAACCTTTTACTTTAAACTTAAACTTTATTCTACTATAATTTAATGGGCTTTAAAACTTTAAAAATTGAAAATTTAGAGGCAATTTTGCTAAATTTTTATAATTTTTGCATAAAGTAGGAAATATGAATTTATATGGGGTTTGCCAGACATTTTAAAAAAATAATAAATATTAAATAAACAAAAGAAAAACAGGCAAAATTTGTTAAAATGCTGTGGCCCCATTTATTTTTCCACCACTCTATATAAGTACATATACAGGCTACGTCCCATTACATCGACGGCGATTTGCGAAAACTTCAATTAGCATTAAATTACGAAAATTCGGCGCTCATTCAGAAAACTAATTTATTTCTCCTGAACAAGAATAGCAATTGTAAAACGAAATGAAAAACAAAAACTATGTAAATAAATTCGAATTTCACTTTTGCTTTTAGTTTTGCCGTCTTAACTTCTCGCCATCAATTTCCGGTGTACAAGGTGTCTGCATTCAGTTTCACCTACCCCACTTGCCCCACTTAATACTGATTTTCCGCTTACTATTCATTTGCCAGCTAAAAGCGAGTGTTTTATTTCACAACAACAAGAGAAGTAAGCAATTTTTCTCTCGCCTTTGTCGTCGCCAATGTCGTGGTCTATTTATGGTTAAAGAACTTTGTCGAAGCTGTCAACAGCAGACGGCGGTAAATAAATAAATAAAACGACAGTCCAAAACAAATGAATTGAAGTGGAAAAAAGAAGAATGCAAAGTAAACATTTTTGGCTAAACAAAGATATCCTTGTGCCAAATGCAATAACAACAAGAAAAACAACAACAACAAACATAAAACAGTCAAACCAAGCAGTCTAATGGGCTTGCACTTAAAAAAAAAAAATAAAGCAGACAACGGTAGCCGGCAACTAGCCAAGCAGCCACTGAGTGGAGCCCCTTCCCGCGCTAGACACGCGGTTCAAGTGACAATTTTATTCATTTGATTTCGTTTAAACTTCAGCCTGTCTATGCTATTTATTTTATTTTTTCTAACGCACTTCTCAGGGCGCTTTGATTTTCCCCTGCCTCTGCTTAATTTTATCATTTCACAATTATTTTTCGCGATTTTATCATCTTACGCTTCTTCGTTGATTCGTTGTCGTCAGTTATGTACGTCGCTTCATTCAACGCTATAATCAGCGTTGGTCCTTAGCGCTCAAGTGAAACTCATTTAAAAATAATTAAAAGTTGAAAATAATTACCTCCATTATTGGCATTTGCCAGCGATGAGGACAGCGATGATGAGGGTGAAGATGCAACTGCTCCTGGCGTACCAATGGCGGCTACAGCTGAGGACGCTGATGCTGGCGATTGGTAGGCAGTGGATGATGGTGAGGTGCCACCACCAATACCACTACCACCATTAATGCCACTGCCACCCAACAAGCCACCATTACCGTTATGTGCCGCTGAAGCCGCTGCTGCCGCCTGCGCCGCTGCCGCTTGTGATGCCGATATCGAAGATAGCGATGAGGTTGCCGTTGATGCAGTGACCGTGGTGGGTTGTCCGAATTTCGTTAGATCCGTATTAGTGCTTTTGGCGGCCGTCACCTCGGATGCCTCATTGCCGACTAGAATTGTGCGTGGTTCGTCGATGGATAAGTGTAGCACACCGGAAACTGTGCAGAGTTGTTGCAGACGGAGGAGGAAAAGTGGAATAAAATGGAAAATTTATGTGAATAATTGAGTATTAATTGAAATAATTTTAATTGATGCATGAAATAAAACTTAATAAACTCTAGAGGAGAGTGGTAGAGAGCACGGGCAGAGTGAAAGGATAACAAGCGCAGTGTACGTACCATATAGAACTATTGAAATCAGGCCAAGTAACGCAAATACAGCCAAACAAATGTTGAGCGCACATCGCCAACGATGCCAGCGCGCCGCCAAACCTTTGCGGAAGTTCATCGGTGTCGAATAGTGATGCGCGGGCAGGCCGCTCATGACGCTGCGCGGTGGAAGCACGGGTCCCATGCAATTGTTCGTGCTGCGCTCGTAACCTTTGAGTGTGTCTTTTGTGGGTGTTGAGCAGGCAGAGCCGCTTTTATAATCGATGGGTGAACCTTTGTTGATATCTGTAAAGTACATTTTGAAAGTTTAATGAAAGTTTTGAAATTTTTAAAGTTCCATGGAATATTCTTTTATATATATGTACATATTATTTTTTTAAATAATGAATGCGAAATTCAGCGTATGTACATATATGGGAAAATGTTTTGAAATGGGGACTTTTCAACAAAAAAAATTTGTTTTTCAAAATAGTAGCACATCCATAATTTATCACTTGTAAACCTAATTGAGGTACTTTGTAACCCGTGTAACTAGTTATTTTTAATTGCTACTCTATTTAAATCATATAACTGTTTCTTATTAGCCGAGTCAAGTTAGATTTTCAAGATTGAAATAATTCGCATAAAGCTGATCACGTTCACCACTATAAACGAAGTGTGCAAAGTCCTCATCGATCGCATATCTGTAAAAAAAATCATTCAAGGTCAAAGGTCACATAAATTGATTTTTACCATTTTTCAGCTGAACGGTGAGGTTTATAATAAAAAAAATAGGTTAGACAAAAGTGTAGATCATACAATTAGCTCTAAAAATCGTTATGACACTTATGTTCCCAAGAGTCATCCTTTCTAGGATACAACGACTTGATCGACATCCATATTGTAATAATTAATTTAATTTATCAAATACTTTGAATTGAAGCAAATTTTTTAACATGGGCTGGTATAAAAAATTTAGTATTATTTATATGATATTTGTTAGATAAAGAGCTATACTTTTATATAAAAATAATGAACCTTAAAGAAATCAAAAGAAAAGTACTCAAATCTGTTAAATATGTTGATGTGCTCTCTTTTGCCGCTGGACGTATTTTATCATCTGCCACGTGTCATCTTAATATTATTGCTAACTACATGTTATCTGTCCTTTATAAGGAATCAGCGATTTGTTTCGCTATCATTTGTTATTTGTCAACTTTTAATTTGTCGGCTGTCATCTATCACCTGGCATTTTTTCCTTCTCTTCTCAAATTTTCTCTTTGTCATCTGTCAAAATTCATCCATTATATAACCACAGCATACCGCTTAGAATTCAGCTCCCAAGAAAAGTCACAAGAAATATGTATTTTTAATTATTTCTATTGCTTGTATAAGCACTTTGCTTTTGCCGTACATTTTCTTGAAGAAACAAATATCCGATAATTTGTTTCTTGAGAGCTGCAAACTAATTTAAGAAATTTTGATAGAAGCAAATTTTTTTCCATTTCTTGTGGGGCGTTTTATATGAATTTTTCGTTTTTCTTGAGAGCTGGAAACACTTCTTTATTTATAAAAAGCTATTTTACGCCCTCAAAAAAAAAAAAAAACTGTTACCAAATGTACTCATCAAATTCAAATTAAATTGCCTCAGCGGACGGATTATGAGGTTTTTTATGCCAGCCATTTAGGGCGTTTCAATTTACTTTAATGCAGTATTAAGACTATTGCAAAAATGAAAAAAAAAGAAAAAACGCAAGCAAAATCAATTAAAGCATTTGACCATGAAACACGCTATAAAAGTCCCAGCTAGTAGTAGTAATGTTAAGCCGTAAAAAGCCGACAAAAAATAAACACCCCGAAATGTGTTGTAATCAGAACCTAGCCAGTTCAGTAAAAAATAGCAAAGCAAAATGAAACTAAACGACAACTGCGGCAACCATTAAAATCACACCTAATTTTCCATGCTCGTTTTTCTTAACGAAGGAGCGAGAGCTACAACCGAAACCGAATAGCCAAATAAGCAAGTAAACTACAAAAAAGGGAACAAAAAAAAAATAAAGAAACGCGGATGGATGAATAACGAAAGGGATTACAGAAAATAAACGCGGCGCTGTCCAGTAAAGCCCTTTCTCTTCGTGTTAATGTCATGTACGGTGGCAAGCTTATGGGGAGATGGAGCTTGCGACTGATTTGCCAGCTTTGCAGAGCTCGCGCTGATTGAAGTTTTGCTCCTCAACAACCAGGGGTGTGAGATATAAATGTGTTACGTCGACTGCGTCTAGATGACAGCGTCACTGCGTCATTGAGCAGCCATCACAGCCCTATGAGTTAGCTTGTGGCATTTTCGGTGTACGGTATTGCGACGGGGCTGCTTATCGCCTTTTTGACTCGAATTTCATTTGTATAAAAGGATTTGTGCAAAAAGAAAAACGAACTGACAACGAACATAACCTCACCACCACAACAAAAAAAGGACGCCTGGATTTGGGCGGTGAAAAAAATACGACTGGATATATGGATGAATGGAGCATGTAAGGACAAGCCAAGGGCAAGAGCAAGTAAAGGGCAAGCTGAATTGTATGCAAAAATTTGCCAAATGGAGTGCTCTATTGCTCTGCCATATCCTTTTGCATAAGTATACACATTTCGTTGCAAATCAAATGGATTTGCAATCAAACAAAATTTGTGTGGCGATGGTGGTGGAAAGCTGTAGTGCGACACTGGACAAAAGAAAAATAGATAAATATATATATATATATATATATGTATACATATATTGCATAAAGAAAAGAGCTGCAAAATAAAGCACAAAATGAAGGAGTGTCTGCGGACACTCTGAAAAAAAAAGGAAGCCAGGATAATGTTGAACAACAGAAACAAATCATTTGTTGACGCTACGATGATAATTCGATTATGTGATGTGTTGGGTGGGGCAAAAAAATATAAAAAATAAATAAATAATAAGAGAAAGGAAAAGCAAAATCAAAATCAAAAGGAGTAAATCGCATCAGCACAATTGGTAGGAGGAGCGCTACATGGCAGAACCAGCGCAGGATAGTTGAGCTGTTGGAGGTGGTGGTGGTGGTGGTGGTGTCAACTTAACATTTGAATAACCATGTATGCGCTATTTAAGTGTCAAGCTGCTACCGCTGCTGCTGCTGGTGTGGTGCTGAAACGAACACGTGCAGACGGCACTGATTTGTACGACGCAGTCTTAAGACACGCAATGGAAATCCATATGTATGTCTAACCAAACGTATACGTCTGTGTCAGTCTGCTAGGCGTATGAGCGACCAAGTGGAAATTCAATATCGATAACATTTCACTTCAAGCAACAGAACTTTTGCATAATACAATAGTTTAAATGCATGTAATGCGAATAAAGGAATGAGCGATTGGCAGCTTTTAATGCCTAATATGTCTGTAAAAAATAAAGAAGGCGAAGTCTAAGTGAGCAGAGTTAACAAAAGTTCTAGCAAAAAAGGGGGGAGCGCATGAGTGTTACGAGCATAATTAAGTGTGGTTAATGAAATGATAATGAGAATGGCAATGAGCGAAATAAAAATTAAAATATTTGATTTGAGTGGATGGTAATTACATGACTGGCAGTAGTTTTCAAAGGATGAGAATAAATGCTGAAATGATGGAAAGGAACAGTAAAATGTTGGATGTAATGCAGAAAAGATGCAATAAAATGAAATGAAATGTAATAAAATGAAGTGTTGAACGAAGTAAATTGGGAATGGCTTTGAGTTTCATTAAATAAAGTATATAGATTGTAGACTGGGGTGGTCCAAAAATGCAAGTGAAAAAGTAAAGTCGAAATCTTTATGCTCTCACCCCCTAGGATTGTTCTTTACAGAAAAAAAATATACTCCTGAACGACTGACGTGATTTGTGGAACAGAGCCACATAAGAAGAAGAGGAAGAGATAAAGATTAAATTTAAGATTAAGATTAAGATTCAGATTAAACTAACGACTAAGATTAATATTAAGATTGAGATTGAGGTTAAGATTGAGCTTAACATTAATATTAATGTTAAGATTAAGCTTGAGATAATACCATTTAATATGCTGAGTAATACGGGTAATATCATGAAGCTTCTCTTCAGTTGCTCTTTGAATCCGCCCACAATTTTTTTCATCCTACTATGTACAATATGTGTGAATATCCGAATTTATTAACCTGTTTTGGAATGTCGATATAAACGCTTAAAATGTCAGTAGCAATAAAAAAAAAACACTTTCAATAATCCTTTTTGTATGGACAAAACCTTATTAAAAGCTGTTTTAAATATTCTTCTTAGTTGTTATTTATAATGCAAATCCTAGACCACAATCAGCCAATTTGTTTTGCAGAGATTTTTTGTAAAACGGTAGTTTGTGAAACAAATTTAAATTAACTAATTCCCTTAATTTAAGTTGAACTTAATTTGTAAACAGGTGGCAACTCTCTTCAAAATTTTTTCGAACCACAACCATTTTTGCCTGCCACTCATATCATGAAATATGTTTCGATTTTCTAACTGCCTTAAAATAAGTTGAACTTGATTTTTGTTCAATAAAAAATCCTTTTCAAAACCATTTCGATCGATACCTACAGTATAATAATTGATTTAACTTATTAAATAACTAGCAAATATCCAGGTGCTTTACTGCGCTAAAAAAGTATTTTTGTAATATTTTATTTATTTTATCAGTAAGGAAGTAAAGTAAATAAAATTACATATAAAGAGACTATCGACCATAAACTAAATAAAAAGCATATTATTTCAGTAAGCTTTTGAGTTTAACTAAATGTAGCTAGAAACATCGATTTTACGGTTATTTTTTATAAATTTTGTTAGACCAGAAATAAACCAGTATTTTATTTTTATTTTTTAGACGCTCGTAAAATGTAAAGTTAACCCCTGAAAACACCTTTCAGCAAGATAATTCCTGAAAAATCTCCGCAAGTCTGGAAAAAAACACGAAAGACGCCGAAAATCTACGAGAAACCGCTAAAAAATTATGCATTAGTTTATATTTTTTTTTAATACCTAAATGCCGGATTAGCAAAAAATATTGGATGTTCTGAAATATAACTATTTCTTGAATCAGTATTGTCTTTCAAAGCTCCGAACTGTCTCAACAGCTATTAATGTGTGTATGCATAATAGGGTGGTCCGAAAATACACAGGCAACTCAAGTTTTTGGGATTTGCTTGCTGCCATCCACCAGAATTATAGAAAATGGAAAATAAGGAGACCCGTGTTTTTATTCATTTTGATATATGTAAACAATTAACCGCGCCGCCGCGGTTTTG